ATGTATAGGGATAACACATATCAAAAATAGTTATACATAGTGGGTACCTGTTGAATTCATTTGTAAATTGTAATGCACAGGGGGTGCATGTTAAACAATATAATACCATTGAAATATATCGAAATATCATTTTAAAAATGAATTGAAATACCATCTGTGATCATGTATAAATACAACTAAAATAATATTCAAATGACAAAAGTCAGGCAATATTAAATGTATAAAATCATCATACACATTTCAAATTGAATCTTTTCTAAGCTTGTCGAGGTTGATTTCTACAAGAACGCCTATTGTGACCTGTTGTACCATATGTACTGCATGTATTTGTCCCCTTAGATTCAAACATCTCTCTTGTTGATTTCTCGCAAGACTTTTTTCTTGGTCTTCCAGGAGGCCTTTTGAATTCTGAAGGCAGAACTAAATCAGTCAGTATGTATCCAGGGAACACCCGCTCTGTTTTATCTGATAATGGGTATATTAGAAAATCATAAGTCTTCAACATTGTTGTCCGTGTGTATAAATTCGAGCAAAACTCATCTCGTCCTAAACTCTTGAACTTCATAATAGCCCAAGCATATTCACATGGTATTTCTGCATACTAAAAGCTACCACAAGTATACTTTTTCTTTTGAAGACAATCTATATAATTTCTACCTTTATCATTTACATTGTGAACATGTTCTGTTGACGGAAAAACCTGAAGTATACAAAAATAAATCAAAACAGATTATTATGTACAAATTTATACAAATATAAAGAAATCATATCATCATTCATGTATTCATTGTTTCATTGATTTTGAGTGTCTCCTGAAATTTTTCAATCAAGGGAGTAAATGCTGATGATGCCTCATTTTTGTTATCATAATTCCATCTGTCGAACATTAGCCTAACTTCCTCTAGAAAATCATAAATTGACAATTCTCTTGCTAAAACTAATGCCAAATTTTTCAGCGATATTTGATGTCATTGACGAACCACGATGAATGGGTGTATACATCCTAGACCACTTATCATATCCAGCTAACTTCAAGTAAGTATTCCTTTACTCGTATATCTACTTTCTTTACTATTTTCAATAGTCTATCAAAATCTGACTGATTACATGTTTTAGCCATTGTATAGAATACTGGACTTAATTTTTCATGAAATTTTCTGTACTTTGTTTGTACATTTGTCCAAAGGTGCCACAAACAAGCATAGTGTTGCACATTATTATACACTTGCGTAACAGCCTTTATGATGCTTTCATTTCTATCAGACACAATACACATATTATTTCTTTTCCCATATGATTCTCTTAGTTGTTCAAAGAACTATGTCCAAGAGGCAGCATTATCTAAATCCAAGACATCATATGCTAGTGGGAAGATATGACCTACACATACATATTTATACAGTTACAGTGTTGCAGATTATAAGTATATATACAAAGAGTTATGTAAAACAGTTATTCAAAATTCATATATTTATATATAATATAAAATACATATTATATACATGCACCTTCAGTCGTGGTAGCTGCTTCAAAAATTTCATTGTAAGGTCCTCAGAGATGACTCCCATCAACTACAACTACAGATCGGCAATGGTCAAATCCTTTGATGAATTGATCCAATGCAACAAATAGGTACAAAAACCTATCCAAGTGTATATGGGATCATAGATATGTAATACCCAATATATACAAATACAAAGGTAATTTGTTGTACGATCCTCCTGGCGTCCCCCTCAAAGAAATCAAAGCCCTTTCTTTAGCTCTCCTAGCCAACATGTAGGATATATCAACAACAAGATCCAACTTCATATCTTTGTTTATGTCAGAAGGTGTGTATTTCCTCTTATGATCTACCAATTTAGGTTTAACAATTCCACCAACTAAGTTGCTTATTACTTGTCGTTGCGAATAAACTCTATCTTTCGGTGAACATGTATGTTTAGCATTTAACATTCTTATTCTAAACATTCCTGATTTATTAATAAGGCCATCATTAACCACTTGCATTCATTGGAGAAACATACAAGTGTATAATTACACGTAAAATAATTAAGATATACAGATAAGTCAAATTTATACACCTAATAACAGTTGAACAGATTTATACAAATGATGTTACCTGATTGAATTTGACATTTTTGTCTTAAATTGAAATCGTTCTGCAATTGCATATTGCTCCATCACACACTTCAATGTAGCTTTATTATTGTTCACTTGATCTACCTTTACATACTTATATGATGTATCGGTAATCACCACACTGCAATTCTCCATTTGAAAGATATCGAGGGGATTTACTATCTCTGCAACTTTTAGTTTCTGTTTTTTAAATTTTTTAAAACCAGTTATACAAAGTTATCCTAAAATATTAGATGTTGCGTTAGTTGAGCTTTCACAAAGTTCATTGTTTTGACAAGACCTATTAGAGATAGTTATACAAAGGGGGTATTTGTTAAATTCATTTATAGATTTTTTTTAGCGTAACATATACCCGCCCCCCCCCCCCCATCTCATTGTGTATCACCATCCTAGTACTGCTCTGATCAACCTTTATATTCAATTTTTAGTAACTTCACAGTCACATCCACAGATAGTTGAGTTGCAATTATATTATATAACTCTGTAAAAGAGGCATTTTCTCTAAAAACAACTCCCTCAATAAAATAGTCAACTTAACAGTTTGCATCATCCCATTTTCCATAATGCATTACCAAGATAGCTAAGAAAGACATTCCTGCATACTATCAAATATCAATATAAATCAGTTGTTATTAATACATCTATACATACACTAATCATACAATTTTACAAATCATAGTCACTTTATAACAACTAATTTATACAATAATTAACACAGTTCAATTCTTTCAACTTTTTTATACAATCAATCACTGAAATAGCTCAGTTATACATCTACAGATATAACAGTCTACGTTTCTACGAGCATGATACGCTCAAACTTACTTCTCAAATAAGAATGAAAGCGGTTGTGTCAAGTAAATAACCCAACTAGTGAGGTTGGGATCGTTCCCACGAGGAAAATAGTCTAGACTTAACTTCAACCTGTTATTACTATTGCTTGGTCAATGACTTCCGTGGAAAGTAAAAACAATAATAGGGGGGTTTCTATTTCTAAATGAATGAAAATAACTAACGCAATTGAAAGAGACACTTAACAGCTTTGAATGTTGGATTATAATCAATTAATCAAAGTAACTAGGGTTTACGTGTTCCCCACAGGTTCATAACTTGATAATTCTAACTATAACAATTCTTTCCTAGTATCTTGCATGCAAAGTGATAAGTTATGTATTTCTAAATCCTTGGTCCGGCATCTAGAAAATCTCACTCCGTACCTTGGTCCGGCTACGTGTGTTGCTATCCTAACCCTTATCTTTACCTCATATTAAGCATCGTATTCGATATTTGACTAAGTTATTACCTCGTACCAATCAATACTAGCCTATTAGATAGTATACACTAAATCTATGTTGGTAATTCTTTTCCTATTACCTACCTCCTTGGTCCGGCAAGTAGCATTAAGGCGAGTTCTAACGTTGGCCATCCGTTAAAAAGACTTCTAAGCGAAAGAATTATTAATACATGCAAGACACCATTCTAGAATTGTTATTTTAGTTAGGTTTTATCTCATTATTTGCCTATGGTTCCCACAACCCTAGTTATGGAGTTTAGTTACTCATAGTCATAATCACAATATTCAAATATATGAAATAAGAATTCATGTACTTACTTCAATTAGCAAGAGTAAAATCCAAAAGTTTGCTTGATTAATCACCAATAATCACTTGCAAGAATCTCAAAATAATCAACAATCTCACAAAAAGTCTAATGATTCTCAAAAGTCTAACAATACAGTGTCTACTAATATGATGTCTAACAATACGGAGTCTAACAATGATCCCAAGTCTAACCCCACGAGGTTTTTTAAACTATTTATAGAAAATAAAAACCTAATTAAACAAGGACTCTATTTGCTGGAAATCTGCCAAAACGAGGCTGGGTCGACGAACCTCTCGTCATGGTCACGACGGACCGTCATGGACTCCGTCGTCCCGTACTTGTGCAATTTCTTTTGTTGCTCTCTTCATTACCCTCGATGGCAAGTATGACGGACTGTCATAGGCACAACGGTCCGTCGAGGATCTTCGTTCCAAAACCCTTCAACTCTTGGAATATGGGTACTGGATTACTTCTCTGAACTTCATGACGAACCTGCAGGACGGACCATCACAATCTTCATAACCCCACACTTGGTCAGACTTCCCCATCTTCCTTCAGCAGCTGCACTACGTTGCCACCTACGGACTGTCACAAGCACGACGGACCGTCATAAGTTCCGTAGGTGGTCTCTTCTGCATTTTTTCGCTCAAAATCTCTGCATTCATCTTTGGACAGATTTCCTGCAAAACAAAGAGAAACTTACATAAAATTAGCACAAAAAGGCTTTTGGACACACTAAACTTAAGGAAAAAGTATTAATAATACCGTGAAACCACGGTATATCAGAGCACTAACTTATACAGTCACTAACTACACATAAACAACAAATATCAATGAATTATACATATACAAATCGCAATTCCACTAAAACTAATTTATACAATTTTACAAATCTAAAATACTCTATACAAACTAAATTATGCAAAAATTAACTTTATACAATTAATCATTGAAACAACTCAGCAGATATAAAAGTTTACGTTTATAAGAATACTAACTTATATAATCACTAACTACACATAAACTATAAATATCAATGATACATATATAAATCGCAATTTAACTAAAAACTAATTTATAAAGTTTTACAAATCTAAATCACTCTATACAAATTAAATTATACAAAAATCCATGACGTGCAGTAATTTTTTCTTATTGATTTTCTATTAATTTAGCCAAAATTCCAAAAGTTTATTTTTATTTTATAAATTTTGTATTAATTTAAATTAAACTCATATAAGTGGACTCACAAAGGAAAGCCGTCTTTTGGGAGTTACGGATTAGTCGTCGTATTGTTCCATACACTTATCTCTTTGCAAGGCAGAGACAGCTTCTTTCTTTCTCCAGCCATGGAGACTGTTGTTCAAAGTTCAGTTGGTATATATTCGAAACCCTTCCATAGCTTAGCTAGAAAGCTAATTAAGGCATCATCAGGTCCAATTACAAGAGTTACAGAAATGGATAGGAGAAGAGGGGGAATTTCACTACTCACTTCTCATTCTTTTTTTCCTGCAATTAGGAGAATAAGAGCAATGCATAAGAGCATCACTTCTTCTCCAACGGGTATCTACGTTTTTGTTCCTGCAACTCCCTCGTCTTACAGATTTTGTTATTTCACCTTTATCGATGGTAAACTGTATGTAACTTTAATTTTCGAAATTCCACTAATGATGAGTTTTTATCTACTTCTCAAAATTGGGAAGGAAGGAGTAATTCTGAGTTTTGAATTATTAATTGTCACCTGCTTCTCAGAAATATACTAGTTTGGGCCTTTATTTGCTACTATTTGTATTTATCTGAATAATAATAATAATTGTGCTTACTATGTGGTGTTTCATCAATTCTGATGTAGTTTCTTTTGCAACACCTGAGGTGGGAGTTACAAATACTGAAACGCGTGAATGGGCGATGCAAGGTAAATTTATACCATGCCAAAATGATGTTATTTCAGCATTAAAGAAACAGTATGATGAAGCTTAAGTTTTTCTTTTAATAATTTTGATAAGAAATTTTGGTTATATTGGATGGTTGTACTCATTTAACGATCAAAGTGCATTCTGAACTTCCTTTTGGCTTTCTTGCATTTTGTATTATGTTTTATTTTGGATAATGGTGGTGTCTGGGCAACCTGTGTACACTTCGGCTAATTCCACGTGATACTTGCATTTTGTCTTATGTGACTTGTCTGGATTTTGATAGAACTTCTAAATTGAGACATAATGTTTGCATCAAGGAAACAAAATAATGTGTTATGGTGAAGTCTCTATGCTTAGCTGCATCTAGATTTTTTAATTCAGTAGTATTTACATGTATGTTCTTCATTGTAGTGGTTGCGTGAATGTGCTTTTGTAACTTTGTGAGAATATGTCCTAGAAGAATTACACACCTGACACCTTACTAGCAAGGCATTATGTAATTACTCATACTGTGCTGTTAAACTCTTGTTACTGAACTTGACAAGAGGCTATAAGACCGTAAATGTGTTTATCCATGCTACCATTCCACATCCACAGCTTTTAGAAGGTTGCACATTCAGAAGTCTTTGTTTCAACAACTAGTTGAATATTCTACGGAGTATGAGGTGAACCAGTAAGGTCATGAAACCTTTACCAACAGATCAACTTTAAGGAAATGAAAAGTTCTGTTGTCAACTTTGTAATAAATTTTGCGTTTCTTTTAGATTGTAAGTACCAATATTTTGGTGGAGTGATAGCTAAAATTTTTGCAAGTGCAATATTACCTTGCAACCATTGCCATAATCACAGGCAGCCTTCATAGGAAAAAAAGGGCAGTGCCAACTATTTGAAAGAAATGGAATGAATGGGACCTTAAGAAAATAACACGAAGGTGGTGGCTTAGGGGGTGTTAAAGCTAAGATGCTAGGGATCCTTATAACAGAGAAGATTTCAAACATTAATGTTATAAAGGTTCTTTTTGTTCTTGAGGAGAAGGGGTCATGATTGATGAGGATGGCAATACAAATGTGTATGGTGGAGGTGTGATGCTGAAAGAACGGTATTTGAGGAAATGGAGATGCATAATGGTGAGGCAAATCTGTGATTTCCTTGTTTTTGATGGGTCGATGTAGGGGTGGCAAAATGGGTAAAGTATATGGTTATCCGGTTGATTCAGCCATATCATCAATCATAAAATATGGGTAACTCATGTGTATCCACCAATTACACTCTCCTTAAAGTTTGTAACGATGTAGAAACCTATATAAGTACACTTATTAAGAGTGTAATTTCCAATTTTCTATTTTATTGACTTAAATTTAATGTTTTGGAAATCTTTCTTCTTTTTTTTTGGACAAATGTTTTGGAAAATATTTTTCTCTAATTTATGAAAAATGATTTCTGTACATAAAGTAGGGGAAAATTTCAAAACTTTTTTAAATCATGAAATAATTTTTCAGAACTTTCCTTAAACCACACCACTTGAAACTGGTCCGGGATCTGACTTCCGACCCCGACTCGAGGCCCAAAGTTTTACCTCCCAACCTCGATTCAGGACCACTAATTTTCCAAAAAATACTTTCCTTCATACTAAATACACACTAAAAGGAGAAGAAGAATAAGAGAAAAATCTTGTAATTTGAAAGTATTTATTTCTTTACATAATAAGAAGCAATGGACAGATAATATGGATATATGTATTACCCATTGGGTTTACCCATTTTAATCCATATCAAATATGAGTCGAGTAGGATATTCTATCAATTTTCACCTAACTCATTTTTTCCAACTCATATCCGACTCTACCCGGCCATTTGCCACCTCTAGTCGGATGTCTGTAGTTTGGCATATGGGTGTACCTTACTTTTTATATTGTAGTTCATTTTATTAATTCCAAGTCAGCCATCTATTTTTATTTTATTTTTGCTAATAAAGAGTTATACGATTAGTTTTTTTTTCTTAATTAATGAAATCACACTTTTTTTTACCTTTCTCAGAACACAAAATATTTCCTAAGGGATTTTTTCATAGGTGAAACCATGTGCTTCAACAAAGTGTACACTTCAAACAATGACATGCAAAGTAATCCAAACTAAAAGCAGTTGGTTCTTTGAATATCAACTCCGAGGAGTTGGATTATGTAGACATTATTGTATATTGGATGTTGAAATAATTTATTTTGATTATAATTTGATTATTATATCACTAAATTTATCTATGTTTTTGTATCTTTTGAACTTTTAATATTTGTGCGCTTGTCTTCCTTGTGGGATTACGCTTTGTTTGTTGTTGTTGTGCACTTGTCTTCAAAGAAGCATGCACTTCACTTCTTGCTTTTTCGCTTCAAACTGCATGGACCTTATCACTTACTTGCGCTTTTCAATTTTAAAAGACTGCTTCTGAACGCACATTTAGGGAAGGGACTCTTTTTAGTCATCTTTGAATGAAATTCACTTTTCTAGAAATCGAAATTCAAAGTTGCGGATGGCAAGTATTGTCTGCAGTCACAATTTTCTGGGTAGCACTTTGTGCAATCTTCTGCTGATTTTTTCATCTTTTATGGAGTATTTGGCTCCTTATGTGTTTGAGTGCTTGTACTGATTATATGTCCACAGATTTCTATACTTTAAGGAAGGATGTAGAAACTGTCTTAGAGCGTGTTCAGGAGATCAGAGCTGCTGCTGGTCTAAAGCAATTACAGGAAGATCTTGCTGCTTTAGAAGCAGCAGCTGCTGATCGGTCTCTCTGGGATGATCGTGCGAAAGCTCAGGAAACACTTCAGGCTTTGACTGATTGCAAAGACAAATTAAAGCTTCTCCGTGACTTCAAGACACAGGTACCTATACTTGCCTTCAAAGAGAGACGGAGAGCTGAAAACACTTGTACTATGTTGTTTCCTTGTTAACATCAAAACTCATTTTCCATTTTTGCTGAAACATCTTTATACTATATTAGTCTTGCACTGTAGGTCCTATTTTATCTTGTGAGGCGTATGTCACCTTTAACTTTGATTTGTCTTTGTAGTAAATGGTTAATGGTTCTAGGACATTTAGAAATCCAGTGATTACCAATCTTATTCTTCTGGAGGATCTCCTTCATTTCCCCTAAATACCTCCTTCTGTCCGAAGTTTGGAATCTTGGTTAAAAATCAGAGAGGAAGATAATCGAGTGGACAGATGTCCATTTGAAAGATTAAAAAAAAAACATTTTTCCCGTTTGATGTGCAATTAAAAAAATTTGCAAAGCTTTTCTGTTTGGGGGACTTTTAGATTTCTCTTCTAGTCCTTGAAAACATCTCAGGTATCTGACCATGTATTTGGATATTTACTCATGAATCAGTGTCAGTACAACAGTGACAATTCAGTAATTCACACTTCCACAGGCTGATGATGCAGAAACGATTATTAAGCTCACTGAGGAGATGGACTCAATTGATTCAGTGTTTCTTCAAGAGGCCTCTGGTATCATAAAGGAATTGAACAAGGCACTGGATCGTTTTGAGTTGACTCAACTTCTTTCAGGCCCCTATGACAAAGAAGGTGCAGTGATTACTATCACAGCTGGTGCAGGCGGCACTGATGCACAGGTAATGCTGGATCAGTAGCAAGGGGCTAGGTCTATTGATTTTTTTATTTTATTTTTGATGACAAGGTCTATTGATTTTTTTTCTTGATAATCTTAATGCTCGGGTCAGTTTTCACGCATCTCGACTAATTCAACAGTATATATGCTACCATATACTAGGTAATATCTCCACCAAGGCTAAGGCTGGTATTGCTTAGTTGAGTGAAATCAGAAAAAGGACAAAAGATAACTTATGAATATGAAGGAATAAAATAGTAAAAGGGAACGAAGAACTAGAAAGAAGAGAGCTTATGAATAGAAGTGGAAAAGTACGTTCTATTTCACTGCAATTAAAACTTACGTTTATAATATAACATTAACTTCAAATACCTAAATATCAGCCAAAATCTGCTGAAAATAAACAAACTCCTAAACACTAGGAAAATAAGTTATCTCAAGAAAACTAATTGACTGCAGTAAATAAATGAAGCTGCAGTCCTAAAACATACCAACTAACATCTCTTAAAATACTAGAACAAAAGAAAAAAGATATGATGTGGAGTAGACACTATTGAAGCTCTTTAACAATTTGTATATTTTGCTTTGAAACCTTATCTTGCTTTTTTCTCATTACAGGTTTGGTCCATCTATTCTCTATTAGTCCTGTTTTATCAGAAAGTTTTCAAGTGTTCAAAAACTTGCAAAATCAGTGTCACAATTTTTATTACCTTTACATAGAATATTTTGATTAATTCCAGTGCAGGATTGGGCTGATATGCTTCTCAGGATGTATGTGAGATGGGCAGAAAAGCAGCGCTATAAAACAAAAGTTGTTGAGAAGTCTGTGGGAGAAGAAGCTGGGATCAAGTCAGCCACTGTTGAAATTGATGGACGGTATGCATATGGCTACCTGTCTGGGGAGAAAGGAACCCACAGGATTGTTCGACAGTCTCCCTTCAACTCTAAAGGCCTTCGTCAGGTTATAATATATCTTTAAATGATAACACTCTTTTGGGCCTCCTTATATTCTGTATTTTCTAGATACTCACACGTATATGAAAGATTTCGTATGAGTTTGAGTGGGCTACTTCACACTAAAAGTCCATAAGCATGATAACCATACCGTGTGAGCTTGCTTACATTGTTAGTCCCAAGTCCGAATAAAGGGTGAGAACTAGCATAAAAAGCCAGTTCATGATGAATTCTCACAATAGTATCATTGGGACATGCTCATCAAGGAACACATTACATCGCCGCCTGGATGTGATGAAAAATAAGGTAGTGATTCTGTCAAATTACCAATTGGATGTGACGGAATATGAACTGCGGTTCCTGCATCAGTGGTCGCCTGGTGGGTATGAGTAAAGATGTTAGTACTGCCACATCAACACCTTGATGTGGTACAACATAGGAAAGGGTCCCATGTCATGGACAAATGTATGTAAAGAAGCTAGTATGGCCACATCCTGGATATGTTACAAAATAGGGAAGGGTTCCCGCATAATCAACTAATGAGGGTAGGAAAGCTAGTCCAAGAGAGTTGAACTTGAGTAGAAGCTTGAACATAGGATTTTTGATTGGAAAGTTGATGGAATTAGTAGAAACCTTAAAAAGGAGGAAAGCTATATTGCATAACTACATGAAACTAAATGGTCGGGGTAAAAATAGTAATGGGGTGGGAACTATTGTAGAACAAGAACTTAAGGATTAAGGTTGTTCGGATACTATTATTTCATTATGTCTTGCATGCGTAAATGAGAACACTTAATGTCATTAGTGCGTACGCTCTGCCAATAGGATTAGATGCAGAAGCTAAAACTAACTTTTTGTCAAGATATGGATACCTTGGTTCAAGTGACTCCAAGCAAACATATGACGGTTTTGAACATGTAAAATTGTCCATGGGGGATACGGTTATGGTACTAGGGGTGATGAAAGAAGAGTTCACCCTAGCTTATGGTTTAGTCTAAGCAAACACATTTTAAAAAGGGATACTCTCGCCTGATAACATTTAATAGTAGGGTAATCATAGTCAAATAAACTTCATCCTTTCTAAGAGACATGATAGAACCACATGTTTGAGGGTTGGAATTGAAGAACGGTAACCAATTAGCGTTTCAAGAAAAAACTATAGGAGTGACATTGACTTATAGGGGGACACTGACATCCAGTGGAAACCCAATTGTAGTAAGAAAATAAAAATGATGTGTTAGGCAAGTCTAAAGATAGTTTTTCAACCACAAGAATCCTAGTGTTAGTATAAGGAGATACAAAGGGGTCGTTTGGTTTGAATTCAAGTTATGATAAGATTAATTATGATGAGATTATATTTTATTGAGTGTTTGGTTTGTTGTATTCAAAATAATAAATTTTTAGTACAATTTGTTTGTTTATAAATTGCCCTTCATGAATGTAAAAAGTGATATAACAAAAGGGTTGAAAGAGACATTTTTGTGATTTACTTAGTTTATCCCAGGATAAGTTATCCCGGTATTACTATACCACCCAAGGGGAGGGATAACTTATCCCGTAGTAATTATTAATCCCGGGATAAGTCATCCCGGACTTGCCAACCAAACAACAAATTAATTGGTATTGTAATTTAATCCCACGACTATTTGGTATTATCCTTCACACCAAACGAGCCCTAAGAGTTAATAGAGCTAAAGAAAGTGTTATAGGAAGTTATCAGACGAAAAAGAGGAAGACGTTGAATAGTATAAGAGAGCCAAGAGAAAAATTAATTGTAAGAAGGTTATTAGTATAAATCTAGGGAAAAACATTAGATGGATTTTACCAAATGTTAAGGACACAAGAATGAGAGAATGACATGTTTAAACTATCATGGTTAAGAGAGAAGAAGCGTAAGGACTTAAACAAGTGTACATAATGAGATAAATGGAGAGATGCTATTTTGATCAATTTTCAACTCGAGCAACGATTATAACATTTTGGATCTTTATATATTTGTACACAATATAAGCTTTTAGCCGCACTCATAAAATTAGGCCACAGAGGTAAAAGATGCATTGAAAAATATGAGAACTAGAAAATTCTGGTCCAATTGTGTCTCTATAGAGGTTTGTGAGTTGCTCGGAAAAGTTGGAGTAGGATTACTAACCAAGCATTTTCAATGTTGTACCAGGAAGTGATAGAGTAACTTGATTTATATTTTATAAGAACAGAGGAGATATTTGAAGTTGTATGAACTATCGTGGCATTAAATTTATGAGTCATATGGTGGAATTTCGTAAAGGATTGACAGAGCAGCATGTTGACACCACATGTTAGGTCCAAAGAGCAAGAGCTTGTATGAGTTTATTGTGTTGATTAATCTTAAGTGCAAACTTAAAAGTAGTGGTGGTTGATCGATTTGTTTCACAAGTATTTCCAGTTTCTATTCTTTTATATTCTTTGGGCATAATCTCCCAATTGTTGTAGCCTAATGGCCATTTTGTGGGGACTTTGGAGATCTCCCCCCTTCCCCTCGCTTGTCTAGTGAGGGTCCATTGTTGAATGTGGCAAGTTGTGTAGAATGTCTTGTCTTTAGCTTAAATGGTCACATCATGATGCACATTTTTTCCTGATGTAGTTCAATAAATGAGCTTTGATTTTATTCAAAATATGCTCATTTTGTAAGGGTGGCCCAGTGGTTTGAGCTTGGGACTTCCATGTTGGAGGTCTCAAGTTCGAAACCGCTTGTCAGCGTAAGCAAGGGATTTGCCTTCTGAGTCGAGCTCGTCGTACCAGGCTTTCCTAGTGCGGGTTACCTCTCCTATGTGGTTTGCGAGCTATTGCATAGGAGTGGGGTTTTACCCTGTGCACACCCAAAAGAGTAGCGGCTGCGAGTTTCCCTTGTCATCGAAAAAAATATATGCTCATTTTGTTTTTAAAAAATACCCCGTCCTCGCATTTTGTAAATTAGATTTCTTGAAAGTGTGAAAGTTGCATCAAATGGTTATATCAGTGAGTGGTGCCAAACACGTTTACAGTTTTGTTTTTCTTTATAACGTTTTTCTTCGCTAAAGCTCGTGCTTTAATTGCCCTTGTGCTTTAAACTTAAATATATTTTGGCACTTTTGTGCATTCCGCTTTTGAAAACTCTTTCCAACACTTTTTTCACACCTCAACCCTAGGTGAGGCGGAATAATACCTTATGAACACATGCTTTACAAGTAATCTATGATGAGAAAGTACACTACTATGCAGATTACTGATGAGAAGCTTCATATGCAACACATTTTGACTAGCTGAACCGCTATATGTGATAAGTGAAACTATGAATACAGATGGTAGCTTTACAATGTCTACAAAGCCTCTTCTGGAATCCATGATGGTACCATATGAAAATACGCATAGTAAAGACTCGGCAAAGCCCCGAATCGACCTGGAGCTCACCAACATCCGCTGAGTATAATGTGCTTCTATTGGAAAGATCCACTAGTTGAGTACTTGTACCTGCAACATGAAATGCAACGTCCCCAATAAGGGACGTCAGTTCGAAAGAATGTACTGAATATGTAAGGCATAATTAACATGAGCTCAAGTGAAACCAAATACCAATAGATAAGGATTAGAGACCACCTTTGCTTTGTACTTGTGGAATCGTGCATGTTACATTCTTTTCTTTAAATTTCTGTACTTTTTATAATCTTTATACAACATATGATACAAATGACCAGCTGATCACGGTAGAAGAGGATGACCCATGCTAGGCTTGCGCCCCCTGAGCTGTCACCCTTCCATACCAATTGGGATCGGCCCATGCTAGGTTTTTGCCCCTGGGTTGCCACCCTGTTATACCAATCGGGATCGGCCCATGCTAAGCTTTCGCCCCTGAGCTGTCACTCATAATCATATTGATTACTTCACTTAGATTCTTTCATCTTTGAGATTGTTGTTTATCAGTTCATAACTCTTTTGGGATTGTTCTTTAGATAATCGTAACTCTTTTGATATTGTTATTTTGATGTTCATAACTTGTTTGTGATTGTTGTTTTGGTGGTCATAATCCTGGTTTAGATTTGGATCTACAGACCAGTAGTAGAAGACATATGAATATGAACTTACGATATTAATAATGACATGGGAAGCAAATGTGACTTGAACGTAGTACTTAGGAGCCTATATGACTCGGTAAGCATTTTGATATCTCAAATCAAAGCACATCTAGTGAAGACAATTTGACATTCAACCAAGAGATTTGAACTTCATATGATACAAATACAAGGTGTTCATGAATGTGGAACCAAGGGGGAATGTGGGCAGATTCAACTTAAGGACGGAGACATATTCCAAGTAAGTACATATAAACGTACAATTGAGCTAGTAGTGATCCTGTGAGGTAACATTATAGTCTAACACAATGTGAGTAATAACAAAGAAGGGAACATATGAACATGTGACAAGATGACATATCTATAAACAATGGAAGCAAGTTGGCATGATATAGGCAGATTGTACCATGTGTAGTCTACGATCACTTTGACTTATGTAACGGGGATACATGCCATGGGTAATTTGACAATGAAACAAGTTTAAACCTTGCATGCTAACACTTGATAGAGTAAACACGCACATTTAGTAACAAACTCATATTAGAGTAGGAACTGCAACTATGGATCAGTCACTACCAAGGGCACTTAGAAAGCTTACTTTTTGTAATGCAAGTTTTGGATTCATGCCAAAGAAATAAGAAATCAAATAGCCTTACATACCTTGCTATACAATTCAAAAAGTATTGACTTAAGCTCCTTCTCTTCAGATCACTGATCTACAATAAAGTAAGTTGTAAGACTAGTATTAGTAGCTAATCAATCAATTTGAGCCACTTGATCACACCCAAATAATAACGAAGCAGTAAGCTGCAATCTATCTACTGAGTGTTCTCTTTCCTTCCCTATCCCATTAATCGCATCTATATACTGTACAACCTTCGTATTAGGTCCTCCCCAAAACTCCCTGCAATATTTAAGTTCTTTAACGTCTCCATAACTTCCCCGTTCATCCAATCACATCCCTTATCATAACATACATAAAATAATCTTTGAACATAATAGTGTAATAGAAGCAATATGAATCATGGTTTCTGATCACCAGCACTTGAAGAGCTAACATTACTTTTAATGTGCTAAAACAAGCTCATAGCTTAATTTAAAGAGGACTCCCCACCATGGTAGTCCCAACATGCACTAATCACCATAACATCCTCCCAATATTTACCACCTAAAAGTAACAATTTCCAACTCACTAACATTTCGACTGTCCTAATTAACTCAAGCACAAGAAGGAGAAAATTGCAGTAGCTTACCTTGCTGGACATAACTACGGCTTGCTAAAACTTGGATTCTTCAATGTAAAAGTTGTCCTCCTTAACTAGTCTTAAATTACACCTTTCAATAGCTTGAAAATACCTATTATTCAAGAACCTAATGGTATTTAATGGTTGTTGTATGAATCTAAGAGAGAGAAGAGATAAAGCTCTAGTAATCAGATTTTTTGTCAAAGTAAAAATGGTTGGAAAAAGCTGATATCAATCTCTTTTAAAGGCACCCTGCTTTGGCCGACTTTCTCACTCATTTAGGGCCATAATTTGTCAAGTAGGTGACCCACCTACTTGGACTTTTCATTTGGACTGTTTGGTCTTAAGAACATTGGCCCTTTTGCCACCTTTCTTGTACTTCATTTGCAGCCAACAACTGTCTATAATTTGGGCCACACATTTAAGTAGGTGATTCACCTAGTTTTCCATTAAAATTATTTCTTGTGGGCTTGGGAAGATTGGGCCTTGGCTGTCCATTTCCCCTTATTCTTCTGTTCAACTTGGGCTAAATTAATGCAAATAGGTAGTGTACTTGGCCCAATAACATGGTCAAAAGAGTCTTAGTAGGTGATGCACCTACTTGGTCCTTTGGTTGGTCAATAAGTCAAGTAGGTGATGCACCTACTTGGTCCTTTGGTTGGTCAATAAGTCAAAGTAGGTGACGCACCTACTATCACCTACTAGAAGTGAAGTCAAGCAAGCACCTCAATGTTTTATTCCATTTCGAGACCTTAATAACTTTAATATAACTTAGAACTTATATACACTATGTCACTTTATACTTTAGACTCAAATACCACCTTATGATCTAAAGTTTAAATACTTCCATCGATATCAACTTAATTGGGTCGCATTAAAATCTATGGAAAGTTCACTTAAACCTATTCTATTGCCACTAGTCGCATAGGAAATCGAATCCATAACCATACCACAAGGCAGTTTAATGCGTTATATAAATAAAACCAGTACACGTAAAATACGGGGTGTTCATCCTCCCCCTCTTATGATCATTCGTCCTCGAATGATAGGTGCACCTGATAGATCAGTTAATCTTTGAATTTCATATAGGGATTTGCGAGAGTCCTCATTGTAAATAGGAAGGACTATTTAAAATCCATATACTAACCTAAAACATGTATAGACAAATGTAGCGTGACGTCTCGATAGATATGATTCATGAAATAGTACTATGAAAATTAAACCCCTTCTTTATCATGTAATTCACTGAAGATATACAAGTTGGACTCATACAAATAAGGACTGTAATATGCCTAAATACAAGACACTCAAATGACATATCAAATGAACAAATTCTAGTAGGATTCATGATCATATAAGGGGACCACATGATCTCAGATCCTGATGTTGATGTTTAAAATAAGGAGGGTTACTTAATTTATTTTTAGAAACAAGTTAACTTTAAAAAGTTCATTCTAACCTAAAAAAACTAAACCTGTTTTTGGAGTGCAGACACCTTAGCACTTTGACACCTACACTAAAGGGCCAATTAAGCCAGATGAAGCTGGTTTTCATCAAGTTCCAGGGCTTAAGCGTGCTTAAACGAGCCTTTAAGAACAACACTAGTAAAAAATGAGCAATGTATCATTGTTTCATTAACCACTTTATTATGATATCGTGCATCTTAGTATGATATATCTGTTTTTCTATCTTCATAGCAAAAGAATCTTGTCGTTTACATACATGGACAACACATAAATTTTTGAAGTGGCCACTGTGCAGACAAGCTTCACTGGCATTGAAGTTATGCCTCTTCTTCCTGAAGACTCAACAAATGTTGAAATTCCCGAAGAAGACTTGGATATCAGCTTTACAAGAGCAGGTGGAAAGGGAGGTCAAAATGTTAACAAGGTTGAGACTGCAGTTCGCATCACTCATATTCCCACTGGTGTAGCTGTTCGCTGTACAGGTTTCTTTGAAACCTTTTTCTCTTTATTATATTATGTGACATCTGTAGCGAAGAAGTTTGAGATGGAGCGACCTTTTGGTTCTAGTGGATAAGTGTTTGATCTTTCTGAATTCTGACATAGATTGACATATGGACTCAGTGAGATTAGAGCTGTAAAGTTGTTATAAACTAGCATACTTTTGTTCTTAGCTCGTTGTGTTTTTGTTCTCTTCCCATCCTTTGGTCTTCTTTCTCTTGTTAGATTTTGAGCTATGGTTAAAGCATTAATTTTCTTGTCTAAAGTATTAATCGCAAATCTATTATAGTATTCTAGCTGCAACTAAAGTAAAATGGAATATTAGTGGAAGAACAATATAAACAAATGTACGGAATAGACCAAAAATGATCATCTCTTTTCCCTAAGGTGTGGTTTATTTGGAATTGATGTGTGATACTAATAATATAGCTTAACAATTGCAGAGGAGAGGTCACAGCTGGCAAATAAGATAAAAGCTCTAAGCAGATTGAAGGCAAAATTATTGGTGATTGCAGAGGAACAAAGGGCATCAGAAATAAAGCAAATAAGAGGAGACACGGTGAAGGCGGAATGGGGCCAGCAAATAAGAAACTATGTCTTCCATCCTTACAAGCTAGTAAAAGATGTAAGGACTGCTTATGAAACTTGTGATATCACCTCTGTGATGGATGGTGAGTTAGATCCTTTTATCAAAGCCTACCTTAAGCACAAGTACAGTTTGGCAGCAAATCCTAGTGGACTCACTTGATAATGCAAATGAATCACTAGATACAACATCTTTAATGTTGTTATTACCTTGTATTTGAGATTTGTTCCCATCTTTCTATAATTGTTGTGTTTAGTTAATAGGAAAATGACATATTGAAGTATGAAAGGGAAAAAAGACAATATTCAACAAAATAGTTCAAAATAACAAATCTCAAAAGCGGTATGTATGCTCACAACCAACAAAAGCTGTCAAATTTTATACTCGAAAGTAATTGAAATATCTTTTTGTGCGTGTGGGAGAGAGAGAGGAGACGTGTTGGAGGAAGACGTATCTACCAAAATGAAATTCAATCACAAGGAAAAAAAAGAATGACTGGAGATGAAGCAAGCATTTCTGGTAGAGACATAAGAGCAAATGCACAAAAGTAGCTTGTACAAGCACTCTCGTATCCTAACACAAGTTGTGATCAGATCAGTCACAATTTAAGTGATCAAATAGAGGGTGCTAGACAGGTTTTACAATATCTGAATAGCATCAATAGTCATCACGACTCATGGTCAGACCAGGATATGAAAAAAAGTTTGTGCAGCACGAAACCTCATTTTCTTGCAACTACCCAGCTTGACTATTAAGATAAGGGCCTTCCTCACATGTCATGTTTGAAGTCATACATCCTAAGTTCATCAGCAATTTAAAGTGCGCCTATGATATTTGAATACTATAAGAATATAGGTCACATGGTGCCACTGCTATTGACCTCATCTGATTGCTTCGGAGAGTACTTCTCCATCAGTTTAGACAGTTCAAGGTCAAATTTCCTTTCAAGTTCAACCTCCTCTTCCCAGTATTTGCGTCTCAATGCAGCTATCCTATCGTCATGAGTTCGCATCAGATTCTCCCTCTCTTCCACAAACTCCTCCATTTCCTTGTCCTGGAGTTTGATAAATTTGGCAACTTTCTCTGCCCTGAAATGCAAATGACAAATAAAATATAAGGACAATCTGGATCATTGGAAAAATTGTCAAAGCATATCAATTTTTATTGATAAAATATTTCAGGAAGCGTAACATAAGGTCTGAGATTTCCCTTGCAACACACATAGAGAGATCAAAACTATAATAAAGCTGAAGTGGTGTCTATATTGAGAATCATCTGGCTTTTGTTCTGGTATTAGGAGAAAATACTTTAGTTTTGTTTTTTGGAGACCTTTGGGTTTTTCTTCTTGAAAAATTAACACTCAAACCCTACAGCAATATTTATAAGAGTAAATTATTTTCTTACTAGGAACCAAAGGCAGTATTTTTGAATTACAAAAGAATTTATCATGAAAAATAAAAAGAACTCAATAAATTCCTAGATGAAAAATTTAGACACAATTATAATTGCCAAGTTAAAATAGGGGCCAAAAAAGAATACTTTTGTTCTGGGCCCCTAGTGGAGCCACTAATTTTCAAGCAGAAATTGCTCATAATGAAATTTCTCCCAACACAGCAGGGATATAGAACAAGAATTAATTTCTCTGATTCAGTTCCAGATTTAACAAAGCGAAGGCAAAATACCTACCAAACTACAGGTACCTAAATGAAGCTATAAAAGAATGTTTTACCTGACCCGATGATCCTCAACCGAGGCAGTATTGGCATTAGATTGTTTAACCATCTCACGCTGCTCCTGCTGTGTCTTTTCAAAATTGTCCTCCCTGGCAGTCCTGGCATCATGAATTATTTTGATCTGATCCTTGAAGAACTGTTCTTGAAACTCCATCTACAGAAAGTATAACCACATGAATCAGATTGTATGTAGAGAGGAGGACAACATTCTAAAAACACAAGGAAAGAGTTGAGGGATGATATCCCCAGAAAAAAGAATAGAAAACGCCAATGACATGAAAAAAAATATCCAAATGCAGAGGGCAAAGAAAAGTTCAACAATTGACTTCTATGAATAATTGAATGTCAAAGCAAGACAAAGTTGTCCCAGTGTCAATCCTAAGCAATTTTAGATCGTAATATGTGCAACATGCAGCTACAAAGAGACACATGACACGGTTTAGTCACCACTAAACAGAATTTAATATCAGACATTGCAATTAGGAGTTAATAATCAAAGAATATATCATCATCTAAATACATGAAGCTGTCAGTTACTGCAGTATTTTGTTTAGAAGGTCAGTAACTGCAGTTTAAACCTATGTTGCTTGGATTCTCCAAAAAGAACTGTCGCACCCGTGTCAGATCCTCCAAAAATCCACTACTTCCGGGGGATCTAACATGCATTCGCCAGCATTTGTGGAGAGCCCAAGTAACATTGGCATTAACGTCTCAAGGATTCAAATTTTGATCAAATGGTCCTAGTAGTACCCACATTCTATATCTGTCATTTCTTACATACCTCTTCCTTGATCTGTTCATGGTGCATCTTTGTTTTCAATCTGACTATCTTGTTCTCTTCCAATGTCTGACGGTGTTTTTCACTCACCAAACTGAGAGACTCTTCAAGAGCTTTAGCCTGCATTTGGTGTTTAGCAGCTTTGTTCTTGAACCATATTAGTTGTTGATTATCTTCCCTCATCTGTTTGGCTGGATTCCAAACAGCTTCTTTGTATGACCGCATCTCAAACTTCAACTTTGATTTCCCTACAAATCACAAGTGAAATCAAACTTCAATAGACATTTGTTAAATACAGGGAAGATCAGTGTTTCAATGAAGTACAACAATTTGTTCAGAGAAAAAAATAATCACAAATACCAGCTGAATGCTGATTGAAGTTATCTATGTCTTTTTTATCTGCCATGTAACCATAGAGCAGACGTTTCCCCCCAGGATAAAAGCGGGCTGAACGACGTTCCCATGCATCTCTATTTCTTCCATTTTCAGAAAAATGCTCACTGAGACGATCAGCCTCAATGTATCCCACTGCAGAGGCCTCAAAAATCAACAAACTCATGCCACGATGGCCTTGTGGACCGTATGAATGTCGAGCCTTGACAGCAGCATAAGAGCTAAAATACTCAAGCAGCTCCTGATTCCCCATTCCAATCCACTGTGAAACACAGCTCAGAGAGAGAGAGAGAGGGAGATAGGTAGGGGGAGGGGGAGAGAGGTATTAGACAGCCATCCAATAAAGTCTTAAATAAAAGTAAATCAAACAAACAGAAGACAAATAATCACTCTACCTTATCGTTTTCATCTTTATCAAGCCTTGTGTTCATGATAATCACCATTGGTGGCCACACAATTTCTTTATCTTTAAATTCCATGCCACCCCATCTTCCATACACTTCACCTGGAGGTACAACAGAAGTACCTCTCTGACGAAGCTCTTCCTCCAAAAGTTCAGCAAGTTCTCTGTGTATTTTAACCCTTAATCCTTTCGTTTTTGCATGGGTCATCAATGATTGCAACCCTGTAAACCATTCAATTGCGCCTGGACCACCTTTGCATGCAGGGCAGTGCCACTGTCGTTCAGGCTCATTGATCTCAGTGACAGTCAAACTGTCAAGAGAGTGAAAAAGTTGATTGAACCAAGGATTTTTCTTGCGTGTCTCATAACTCATTTCACCCACATCTGAATCAAAGTCATCACTGTGAAGGTCATCATCACTTTCATCAAGAAAATCCAATTCATTATCCTCAGCATCATGTTCACTGGCCTTATCATCATCAGCAGCAGCAGCAACCTGGGAATTATCCTTGGGATGAGCTGAGGCTACTCTAGAAGACCAATCCCAACCATTCTTCAGAGCAGGAGGAACTGGAGCAGATGATGGGAAACCTCCATCATATAGATGCGGCCTTGCAAGTTTTTGAGGATCACTAGGTGTAGACCAGTTATTTCCAGAACCCCGCCCTGATCCAGCATTGTTACGCGTTCCCGATTTCTTACCAACATCTGGATGACCCCAAGCTTTAGTATTCTGGTTTCCCCAAGCTTTTGGACTAGGATTCTGAGGAGCCCATTGCTTCCCAGCACTGCTTCCACCCTTGTTCTTGGGCTTCCTAGCATACACTTCCCATCCTTCATTCTGTTCAGAGTTCAAACCAATATCTCCAACACCTCGATTTATCTCCTCAACTGTTGGTGTAGAGGAAGCTTTCTGCTTTTCTGATGAATTTGAAGGCTTCCCACCCCATTTGCTGAAACTCATCTTTGGATGAAGCTGTTAGCTGGAGACAAAAACATATACTCGTGAATCAACATTCAATCCCTGCCAAAAATAAATAATAGGTAGTGCAATGTTTCACCAACATAACATGCATGGCTGATAATTAGAACAAATACGAAAAATATCCAAAATATATACTCGTGACATGTTATATACATTTATATATATTCAAATTTCACCTAAAGCATTTCCAGTCACATAGATACCAGCCAGTATAAATTAAACTGTAAAAGCAGAGATTAAACTGCAAATCTTAAAAAGTAACACCCAGCAAAAAGAAAAAACAGGAACACAAACAAGGGAAATAAATAATGGAACAAGAAAAGGCAGGTGCACTTTGAGAGCATAAACCCCAAAACCTAATGTGTAACACAGATATTAGAAAGAAAATGACGTGAGACAAACCCCAAAACATAATGTGCATTAGAGATACGATGCCCAATTACCATTTGTGATGGCCTGCACCACATAAATTAAAATGAGTTCCCTACTCTTCTTCTTATGCTCAAATCATGGGCATAACTAAGAGATACTACCAGCATTGGTACATGAATTGATCTCAAGATTTGTTCCCCGAGATTTATTTTCATGTATTAAAAGATGAGTAGGCCAACTGAATCAAGTAATTTGTAACCTAGATAGATTAGTGTCAACTCTAGGAAAAGAGCACACACAAAAAGGGAACTTTTAATCATGAGACACAACGTTGGTGTAGATATTGGTGAAGCAGTAACGAAGAAGAAGACAGAGGTCTGCTAGGCGTGTTTCTTGTCTGAAAAGGATTCTGGAAGATAAGTCATATATAATTTTTTATTCCTTGTAATTATCTTTTAATTAGATAAAGTAGGACACGTAAGTTTGTTAGATAAAGTAGGACATGTTTCATAGTTGGTCAATCACATCCTCCATTATCATTTCACAGTTTGTGATTCACGTATTCCATGCGTTGTATTTATACGCACCTTTACAGTGATGTCAAATATACAGAAAAGTGAATTTTCCCTCAATCAATTTCTTGCTATTTTTTCTGCCTAAAATCCTTAATTCGTTTTCTCTTTTGTTCATCTTCTCTGCAATGGTACCCACGTCTTATACTTCCAATCCAATTATTGAAAGCGCTCCAGCTACTCTTTCTGGAAATAATGTCATCGATCCAACTCATCTCTACTATATTCATCCCTTTGATTATCCAGGGATGAATATCTTTTCCAGAGTGTTTGATGGGAAAAGCTACTGTGAATGGAGAAGGGCAGTTATAAATGCGCTCTCTGCCAAAAAAAAACTTGGCTTTACTGATTGCTCACTGGCGATTCCAATTGCAGATTTGGCTCTCCAAAAGGCATGGTCACGCTGCAATGACATGGTTCTCTCGTGGCTTCTCAACTCTTTATCTAAAGAGATAGTTGAATCGGTGTTTTACTCCCAAAGTGCCACAGAACTCTGGAGCGACTTGGAAAATAGATTTGGTCAGATGAACTAGATGCGTTAAACTCTTTTTTTCTTTGTGTTTGTGTGTGCGAGTGAATGAGTCCTTTATTGGTGTTAGAAGCTATATTGTGTTGTCATCCCCTTTACCCTCTGTTAGACAGGTTTATTCCTTGGTTATCCAAGATGAAAAACAACGAGAAATTAATACTTCTCCTGTCTATCCAGGGGCCTCTACATCTTTTATCATAGCAACTCAATCAGGAGGAGTATTCAAACCATCAAAGGGATCTGTTGAATCAAAGAAGAATTCAAGCACATGTGCCCACTGCAAAAAGGCAAGTCATAGCATTGACAAATGCTACATGATTCATGGAATTCCTCCAGATTTCAAGTTCACAAAGCAAAGGAAATTTCAAACCTTGGCTAACAATGCTTACCACGTTGTAGAGGAGGTTAATCAAGGAGACAATGGGTTCTCAAATGCGAAAACTCAAACTTGGGAGAAAATGGGAGAACTTCTGCAATTACTTCAACAATTCAAATTGGGACAGCAAAGTGATAACAATGCTGAAGCTACCACGAGTGTCAATTGTGCATGTATGAAAAGGGTTTTTTCACTCTTCAAGCATTTTGGTTAAAATAGACATCAATTCTTGGATATTGGACAGTGGTGTGCATTGGTGTGCATCTGAACATATGACTTTTAACAAGCTCATTAGGAAATCCAATCATGGTGTCTCTTCCTAATTCTCACAAAGTTAACAATTGTGCATGTATGAAAAGGTTTTTTTCAATCGTCAAGCATTTTGGTTAAAATAGACATCAATTCTTGGATATTGGACAGTGGTGTGCATTGGTGTGCATCTGAACATATGACTTTTAACAAGCTCATTAGGAAATCCAATCATGGTGTCTCTTCCTAATTTTAACAAAGATAAGGTCACATTATGGTTCTGTTACTCTTCTGCCAAACTTGATCTTGCATAATGTTCTCTATATTCCATTTTTAAAATTCAATCTTATGTCTGTGCACAAGTTGTGTAAACAACTTAATCAACACATTCTATTCACTCCTGATTCATGCTTTCTAAAGGGCCCTTCTATGAAGCAGCCACCGGATACTGGAGAAGAAAAAGGTGGAATCTACATTTTCAAATCGAAGTCTAAAGCTGCAGCTTCCAGATATAGTTTTATTTCCAGTGAAGTTTTAATTCCAAGAAAGCATTGTGATGCCAATCCTACTCCTATTTTAAATGCTAGTTTCAATATTCTTGTTTCAGATGTAAAAGAGAAGTGGGGCATTATAGACTCGGTCATATGCCTTCAATCAATATGAGAAAAGTTAGGTCTATAAACAGTATCTCACTGTTCAAATTTTCTATCTCCGTATATTATTTGTCCACTAGATAGACCGTCCAAACTCCCTTTTCCTTCTAGTTCTATTTCTACAAAATCTATTTTTGAATTAATTCATGTAGATACTTGTAGACCCTACAACAATCCTACTCATGACAATTTCATATATTCTATCACTATAGTAGATAATTTTAGTAAAGGAACATGGACTTTCTTACTATCTTCCAAATCAAATGCTTTACGTGTACTTAAATCTTTTCTAATCATGATAGAGAGGCAATTTCGCACTAAAGTCCTGATAATGCTTTAGAATTGGGGACGGGAAAACTACAATCAGAGTTTTTGTCATCTCAAGGCATCATTCACCAAACAAGTTGTGTTTCCACTCCACAACAAAATGGAGTTGTGGAAAGGAAACAAAAGCATCTATTAGGAACGCCGAGAGCTTCTTTTTCAATAGCAGTACCTATTAAGTTTTGGGGGATTGTCTTTTAACAACAACTTATTTGATTAATATGTTTCCTTCCAAAGTTCTCAGATACAAAACAACAAAACCATCTTATGAGATTTTTTTTTCAAGTCTAAACCAAATTATCAATCTTAAGTGTTTTGGTTGTTTGTGTTTCGCTTCCACACTTTTTGGTTCATAGGGCAAAGTTTGAGCATAGAGTTGTGTCATGTGTGTTTTTGGTATATCCTCGTGGAAAGAAAGGTTTAAAGTTAATCTTCAAACCAAGAAAATTTTTGTTACAAAAGATGTGATATTTCATGAAAACATATTTCCTTTTGCCTCTACTAAAGTTGGTGAATGTACAGAATCCTTTCTACCTAAGGATCATATTTGTCCATAGAGGACAATTCTATTCCTATTTTACCTACCACTAAGTCTGCGTTTCCTGATGATCATCATCCTGGTGTCTTTGAATCTCCATCTTCTCCTATTATTCCTACTAACATTCCCCTACCTTCCGTTTCTCCTATGGTTGTAGATAATTCTAAGAAAATCTTCTAGGTATCATAAAACACCTAGTTATCTAAAGGATTATATCTGCAATGCTTTGCAACTCACCAATGTCACCGGTTCCTATTTTCTTTCCTCTGTTACTCCTCAATTATCTTTTTCCAGTTTGTCTTCCACAGATCAAGCATTAACAAATTCCTTCTCAAACTTCAAAGAACCTACCAGGTACACCCAAGCTATAATGCAATACAAATCAAGCATTCATAAATTCCCTCCCAAACCTCCAAGAACCTACCAGGTACACCCAAGCTATGATGCACCCAGATTGGCAAAATGTCATAGCTAATGAAATTACAGCATTTAAATTAAACAAAACTCGGTAGGCTGTGGAGTTACCTCATGGGAGAAGGCATTACCCTGTAAATGGGTGTATAGAATCAAACAACATTCAGATGGAAGCGTCGATTGGTAATTAGAGGTGATATACAAAGAGGGAATACATTTCAATGAAACATTTCACTCGTGGTTAAAATGACTACAATTAGATGTATCTTGTCTATAGCAATCAAGAAGAATTGGGGATTATTTCAACTGAATGTGGATTATGCATTTTTACATGGAGATTTAGATGAGAAGGTGTACATGAAATTTTCAATCGGACTCACTCCTCCTTCCTCAAATGGTCGGACAAACTCCTCCTTCCTCAAATCATGTTTGTAGGCTGAAAAAGGCCCTTTATGGGCTTCGAGCATCTTGGCAATGGTATGCCAAATTGACTTATGCCTTACATTTCAAAGGTTTTACTCATTCGTTAAATGACTATTACCTGTTCTTTAAGAAAAGAGATTCTTCTATATGTATTGTGGCTATCTATGTAAACGATATCTTGTTAGGGATAAATGAACTTAAAGTTTTCCTTAATCAAGAGGTCAAAATTAAAGACTTGGGGAACTTGCACTATTTTCTTGGTATGGAGGTTCCTCGTGAGCAGCGGGGTCTAATTCTTAATCAACGCAACTTCACTTTGAATTTTCTGGCAAAATTTGATATTCTCGGCCTTACTCCAGTATCCTCCCCTCTTGATCCCACATCAAAATTGCTTGCTAATTAAGGTGATCCAATCAAAGACCCAACTTTGTATCGCCATCTACTCGAAAAGTTGGATTATCTCACACATACTTGCCCAGATCTTTACAATACAACATTACAGACAATATATGCAAGATCCAAGGGCCCTTCATTTGAATGTTGCTCTT